TTTCAAAACCCCAGTGAGGTAGACTTGCTGTTTATAGACGGTGCTTTATTAACATCTTACCCCAAACAGGGGAAATCCACAGGTCACGGGACAGTCTAATATTTTAAAGGGATTGTAGATAGGCTGCATACAGTCGTGGGATCTAGTCTGCATGCAGTCTTGGGACTTAGGCTGCACTCTTTCGTGGGACGTATGAGGGTTAGGGTTAGGGCCAGTTCTAGATGTTTTGGGGTCGTTAAAAGCATCAAAAATCAAGGAAATTCAGTCTTATCACCCTACAATGTTGAACTGTCCTGTGATGTCATCTCGGGTAAGATATGAATAAAGCACCTTATAGACACACTGGAAGATTGTTGTAACAGAATATTGCTACTTACTAGAATTGCCAAAGGACAGAACTGTTGTTTATTAGACTGATGTTTGATAATACTGGTAAAATTGCTGTTTGGTCGATAACTGTTTGATATAAATTCCGAATGAAAAGACTTTTGTTTGACAGAATTGCTGTGTGACAGACTGTAGTGTGGAAGAAATACTGTGTGAAAAAACTGTTGTTTGATAAACTGTTGTATGACAACATCCATTCATTTTCCCTCACAACTGTGTATACTCCCCTCGAAGTGAGTGTACATCTGCCAGAGAGGCAGGGAGCCAGAACTGCACACAAATAAGCCAGTAAAACGTATGTACACGCAAAACTCAGGTCCAGGTAAAAGGCAAAATTCCAAATGGACGAACAACCGGGACTTTCCGCTGGGATTAACATCCGGTGTACAAGAAGAAGAACTGTGTATGCGGCTGAAGCACTTTTGCAGCCGGCTGGTCTTGCAGCTGTAAGAAAACATCAGATATCCTGTCTGAGACACGGCTTCCTGTATGCGGCTTTCAGCCGGACTGTCTCGTGAGGCCTTGATACTCTCTGAACGAGACTTTCGACTTGTTTTAATGTGGCTAACTGACGCCGCCTATTTAACGTGCAGACCCAGGAGCATAGGCCCGCAATGTGGAGCCTCAGACAAAAATATGTTCTTATCACGGAAACAGTCAGACCATCATCATCATATCACCTGCCGTGATTGAGTAAGGCGCGCCGACAGGAAGAAAACATTTGATGGGGCGTGGGGGTTGAGGCTGAATGGACCACAGTCCTCTTTTAATTTTCTTAGGGTGGAAGGAAGCCTAATGGGCTTAAACCTTGTTTAAGTATGCAATAATAATGTGCTAAATGAAATATATATATATATATATATATATATATATATATATGGCTCAAGTATTACCATTTATTAACCGAGTTAGCTACACCATAACACCATCATAGGCGCACATACCTGGAGGTTGAGGCATCCTTTTTTCTTTAAAGGAGCCGATTTCAGCTCCTTAGTTCTCAATACTTGTTGAAAAAGAATATATATATATATATCTATATATCAAAGTATCGTCATTGCTAGCACTTGTTTCCATATCTGCGACTCCAGGTGTGTTCTAATGCCTCTGATGTGAGCTGTTATTGTCACCCCGATTGCTCCCATGTCGATCTAACCTACCCTGAGTACCGGAAAATTACCCAAGATGTAAAGGTGGCTGGTATGATTTTAACTTAAACACAGCTCAGTTACCGATTGGTCTATAAAATGTGCAGGTAGCACCATATACCCTCTATGGAGTGGAAAGGGGTTCTTTATTTTACGTAGACTATGATGTAAACTTGTGCCAGGCCACAGTTTTGCTGAGTCCGCCCTGAAGACAAGGGGGGAAGACACGAAAGCCTGTGCGAGCTGCTGCGTTGATGGATGAGGCATTCTGCCACTGGCGTTGATAAAGTTGTTAAAAGAAATTTAACACAATGCTAGCACGTGTTTTCATTTATCACCTGGCAATTCGCCTGCAGAGTTATGTCCCATCTTGCACGGGAGACATACACAAAATACGCTGACGTTGATCTCCCACGTGACCTCAGCAGATTAGGAACGCCAAAACGTAAGTGGTCATTAGAACAGAAAGGAGGTGCATCATTGTCGCCGTCAGATATGATGTGACATGGGAGCAACATTTTCTAGAGACTGTCGTGACTGAATTTGTTAGTATAGTGGTACACCAGTGTGGGCTTCACTTGCAGATGGATCGTCCCAGGTCATTAGAAGAAAACCCAGAGATCTATGTGAGAAGTAGTAAATAATTGCAATGTGTCTGTGGGGGAAAAAGGGGGAGTGGGGTTGGAGAGGACAGCTTAGCGTACTTACATGTTTTCGAGGGTAGGGGCAAAGGGGCTGAAGGTGATAAATTCTCCATTCTGGCATCCCTGGATGAAATGATCAGAATGTACTTAAAGATGCCCTTAAACTGCATAATTTGAAGTAAGTCACAAATCTAATATTTTTGGTTCTCTTGCTGCAAGAAATCGTCTGGCTCTAAAAACGCCAAGTTGTAGGGAAATAAACTACACGGTAACTGATTCTGTTCTGTGTAAAACCAAGGCTACAATTAAAAACTAAAACTAACAGTTCTAACAAAAAAAAAAAAAAAAAACAAAAAAAAAAAAAAAAAAAAAAAAAAAAACGGCGCTCTACGTAATCAACTAGTTCTCCTGTTCAAATCGCAGAGGTGGGATCATTAACATATTCCTGTACACAAGGAACCTCACAGTTTTGTAACATAAACTTTGTACACAATCATAACGGACAATTTACTTCATTAATTGTAGTATTTCAAACACCGCCCAAGTCAGTAATTGAACTTCAAACATCTCCCAACGACCGTATCACTCAGGCTCAGAAAGAATGTTGTTATTTCAAACACGACAGATCACTTATCAATATAATGCAATCGACAGTGTCATCAATATATCATTTTACCAACAAGCTAACACACACACACGCCGGCCTTCGACGTTTGGTCGCCGTTCTAAACAAACTGACAAAAAGAACTTAATGAAGTATCTGGGATAATGCCTCTGATACCACGTCATCAAATCAAAATATAATATGGGGTTAGAAAATGAGACGAAAACAGCCATTATCTAGACACCATGGGATAATTTATGGGTGCGGTGTTTTCTTATTCAATCGAGTGAAAGTAAAAGCGCCCCTAACCACGCCTCAAATCTCGCTGTCGATATAGGGCTCTAGCTTGATATTTTCAGAGACTAATCAACGACTGATGGGTTTTTTGGTTAAAAACACACAGCTCTCCTTTACCTCCTATAACATTTCCTGGGTGACCATTTCAGGCTTGGGGGACTTAGGAGATCAGATCCGTTAACTCTTTAAGTAGCAGGCCATGTTTCTTGATCATTTCAACGATAATACAAGTACAGTGTTCTTGCCGCCTTCCATCACCGAAGTAGATTATGTTAACCCTTGTATCAGAGTTACAGGTCCAACTATTAATGTCCCATAGTATCCCTATTATCCCCGTTAAACATAGTATCCCTATTATCCCTGTTAAACATAGTATCCCTATTATCCCTGTTAAACATAGTATCCCTGTTATCCCTGTTAAACTCTCCCAGAGCTATGTATGTATTGTTTTTAAGCTCAACTCTGTAGAATTTAAAGGGATGGACACAGCTGCACTGGATAACCACACCGTGAAGTCGGGGTTCGAGCCCACGACCCTTAGAACGCGAGGAAATTATCCTTATCACGCGGCAGACCCTCAAACAGTCTTGAATTATGATTCACAAACGCAGAAAAATGGTCGAGCTAGAGGAGAACATTCATTTGTTGCATGCCCAGTTGTGATAGTAAAGATGCTACAAGCACAAGATTCCCCAGAGACCTCCAGACCGGGAATGAGACCTGTAGAAAAGAATGAGTTCACTCAATGGAACAGAGGCACAGGCGATGGAACAGAGGCACAGACGATGGAACAGAGGCACGGGCGACGGAACAGAGGCACAGGCGATGGAACAGGCACTGGCGATGGAACAGAGGCACGAGAGACGGAACAGAGGCACAGGCGATGGAAAAGAGGCACGAGAGACGGAACAGGCACCGGCGACGGAACAGAGGTTCGGGTGATGGAACAGAGGCACGGGAGACAGAACAGAGGCACGGGCGACAGTATAGAGGCTCGGGAGACAGGACAGAGGCACGGGAGACAGAACAGAGGCTCGGGTGATGGAACAGAGGCACGGGAGACAGAACAGAGACACGGGAGATGGAACAGAGGCACGGGCGACGGAACAGAGCGGCTTAGGTCCCATCAGCGGCCCCCACCCCAATCAATTTGTACAACAGCTAAAAAGCCTCCCTTAACCATGCATAGAAATCCTCTATAATACACAACCTAATATATTTATTTACCGTTTGATACATGGTACTTGGCATCTGTGGCTTAGGCGTTGCGAACGCGCTTTGTAATGCAAGGGTGCCGGGTTCGATCCCAGCTGCCGACGGTTGTCTTGAGTTGGTTTCGACCGTGGTACTGAGAGCTGACCGTTTAGTTGGCAGTGGCAAACTACTGAACGTAAAATTTGCCTAGAAAAACTACAACAACCGAAAAAGCTTTGACTGGTTCTGCAACGTCCTGTAAAGGATACATAAGTAACTTAACATGGTACTTGTTATTATTATTAAGTACTGGATCAAGACTTAAGTCCTAAAGTGCATAAACTACCAGAACTTTCCGTCTAAGTTTACAGGCGGTGAACCCGAAGAAGATGAAGAACAAACGAACTTTATTTTCAAAGGGTCACAAATGAAGAAGAAGAAGACAAAGAAGAAGAAGAAAACTGAAATATTATGGGAAGTAAACACGGCCGAAGAATTATACACCGAGTCCGGCTCGTTTCGTACAAACATGAGCTACAACTAACTATACACTGCTTAGAACCGTAGAGATAGAAGCTCTTGGCCTCTGCTGTCAAAAAGTGGGCGTTTGTTGTACTAGCATACACAGTTTGCTTAGTTGCTTCAGCCCCTCCCCCCCCCCCTCGAAAAAAGCCCCTGGCCCCTTTTCGGTCCCTCCACAATTCTAGTATGGCCCTGAGGTGCTATCTAACACCCAGCGACTCCTCCCGAGCTCTCCCCCTTCTCTACACTCATCTAGCGCCTATTCATGGTGTCTATCAGACCGTTCACAATATCTTTGGACAGGAGATGGTGGTCCCCTTAGACAGGCCTTGGTTCATTATGCCCTGTTCATATGACGGGAAAATTACCTTAATGGCCGCCTCACATTCTCATAAACGTGCCTGGCTTTCCAGGAGGCGCGTTTTGATGAAGTTTAGGGTTGGCGAGTTCGCTGTGGGAAAGGAAGGAATGAGAGAAGGAAAGGAACAATGGGATGAGTAGATGGTGGATGGGAGTCGTGGAACGTGAGACGAAAGGAGGAGGAGTGTGAGAATGATGTCATATGTCGCAGAAGAAGAAAGTTACAAGGAGGAATGTGAGAGCCAAGGGAAATCGCATACAGTGGGGATTTGGGATGGGTCTAACAATGGCAAAGGGGTTCCTACTACGATAGGCGCTTTGTGTATTTGCGTGTGTGTGTGTGTTTGTGATACGATACCTGCTACAGTAGATTGCGTTTGATGATTTCAGTAGCTCACAGATTCACATTTGTAGCACACCATACCCGTGCAGAGATGTGGCCATGTGATGATATACGACACACACACGCTCACATGCATGCGCGCGCTGCACACACACATAGACATACACACACACACACACACACACACACACACACACACACACACGCTATCCTTCTCTCCTTCCATATTTGTCACTCTCTCCATTCCCCCTTCTCTCCCTCTCACAGTTTAGTTTACATTTCCCCATGGCCTAACATCCCTCCTCCTCCCCACCCCTATCCCCACAACCGCCCTCGACATCAGTAACTTAGACCCAAGACCCCCATCCTTCTTTGCTTTCTCCTACACGCCCAACTTGAGACCAGGGCAAACGGTTTTCCCACTCCACCACCGCCACCACCACCGCTGCCACCACCACCACCGCCACTACAAAATGAGGTCCCCGCGGACGCAAACTCGTCCACCTGGAAACATTGGTCAGTCAGGCAGAGTACAATTTGATTTTTGAAGAAAAATTACCCGGGATGAGTCAGGCATAATTAATATCCGAACGATCTCTCTTTGTATACACACACACAATCTCTCTCTCTCTCTCTCTCTCTCTCTCTCTCTCTCTCTCTCTCTCTCTTGCTCTCTCTCTCTCTCTCTCCTTCTTTCTTTCTTGGCTTCTTTTCCCTCGTCCTGTGTTCTTTCTTCGACATGCTCACTCCCTTCTTCTCCTCGTGACACGATCTGCCTCTCGGCCCTGGCTCGGCTATACGGGTCGGTCATATCATGTCCACAAGATCACGTGTTACCTACTCATGCGTATTTGATAAGGTGCGTGCAGAGAGCGCGTGCGTCAGGCAACGGTCGTTTGTACGCGTGCATTAAGACCTGATTTCCCTTTTTGCCTTCTCTTTTTTACTCTTCCCCTTTTTGTTCTTTTTTTCTTTTTTAAACCTTGTCTCTATTCTTGTGTGCTTAGAACGTTTCTCAGTGCGCTGGGAAATATTTTTTATTAAACAATGGAGAAATGATCACTGTCGCTCGGAAACGATAGAACAAGAGTGTATGTATGTATGGACTAGAATCTCGCCATCACAGACATACACGCATGCTCACTATCACGCACCCACCTGAGCACGCACATACACGCGCACACACAATGGGCGCCATCATCTCTGCAGGTGTGTATTTCATTGTCACCTTTCGTACAGTTTAATGAGGATTATTACCTGCCATAATTCCTTGTTACATGCCGACACCGTCTGTCTGTCTGTCTGTCTGTCTGTCTGTCTGTCTGTCTGTCTGTCTGTCTGTCTGTCTGTCTGTCTGTCTGTCTGTCTGTCTGTCGGTCGGTGGGGTCGATCGGTCGGTCGGTCGGTCGGTCGGTCAGTCCGTCGGTCGGTCTGTGTTATATATAACCATATAATATTTAACTGCTCTCATACTTAACGACCGGGATATCTTGGCGGTGTTGGCAATAATGATGGCTGCTACTACTTCTGCTGTGGTTACTGCTACTATTATTCTCTGCTGTCGTTACAGCTACTATTATTCTCTGCTGTCGTTACAGCTACTATTATTCTTTGCTGTCGTTACAGCTACTATTATTCTCTGCTGTCGTTACAGCTACTATTATTCTCTGCTGTCGTTACAGCTACTATTATTCTCTGCTGTCGTTACTGCTACTATTATTCTCTGCTGTCGTTACAGCTACTATTATTCTCTGCTGTCGTTACAGCTACTATTATTCTCTGCTGTCGTTACAGCTACTATTATTCTCTGCTGTGGTTACTGCTACTATTATTCTCTGCTGTCGTTACAGCTACTATTATTCTCTGCTGTCGTTACTGCTACTATTATTCTTTGCTGTCGTTACTGCTACTATTATTTTCTGCTGTGGTTACTGCTACTTTTAGTCTCTGCTGTAGTTACTGCTACTATTATTCTCTGCTGTTGTTACTACTACTATTATTCTCTGCTGTGGTTACTGCTACTATTATTCTCTGCTGTTGTTACTACTACTATTATTCTCTGCTGTTGTTACTACTACTATTATTCTCTGCTGTGGTTACTACTACTATTATTCTCTGCTGTTGTTACTACTACTATTATTCTCTGCTGTTGTTACTGCTACTATTTTTCTCTGCTGTTGTTACTACTACTATTATTCTCTGCTGTGGTTACTACTACTATTATTCTTTGCTGTTGTTACTACTACTATTATTCTCTGCTGTTGTTACTGCTACTATTATTCTCTGCTGTTGTTACTACTACTATTATTCTCTGCTGTTGTTACTACTACTATTATTCTCTGCTGTTGTTACTGCTACTATTATTCTCTGCTGTTGTTACTACTACTATTATTCTCTGCTGTTGTTACTACTACTATTATTCTCTGCTGTGGTTACGACTACTATTATTCTCTGCTGTTGTTACTACTACTATTATTCTCTGCTGTTGTTACTACTACTATTAACTAAATTATTTTAACTAGTAGGTAGATAGCAGCAGAAGCCAAAGAAGCAGAAGCAGAAGAAGAAGAAGTAGAAGCAGAAGCAGCAGCAGCAAAAGAAGAAGAAGAAGAAGAAGAAGAAGAAGAAGAAGAAGAAGAAGAAGAAGAAGAAGAAGAAGAAGAAGAAGAAGAAGAAGAAGAAGAAGAAGAAGAAGAAGAAGAAGAAGAAGAAAGAAGCAGAAGAAGAAGAAGAAGAAGAAGAAGAAGAAGAAGGAGAAGAAGAAGAAGAAGAAGAAGAAGAAGAAGAAGAAGAAGAAGAAGAAGAAGAAGAAGAAGAAGAAGAAGAAGAAGAAGTAGAAGAAGAAGAAGAAGAAGAAGGATATTCAGTAAGTCAGACATATAGTGGGGCCGACGAATGGGCAGACAGATTGCCGGAAGGACAGACAGACCAACAGACAGACAAACTTCCAACAAAGAAAATAGACAGAGAAACAGATAATCGATCAGACAAACGGACAGACAGGCGATCAGGTGAAAGCACAGACAGGCGGACAGGTGGAAGAACAGACAGGTGGTCAGGTGAAAGCACAGACAGGCGGTCAGGTAAAAGCACAGACAGGCGGTCTTGTGAAAGCACAGACAGGCGGTCCGAAGGAAAGCAAAACAAACACAGAGACAGACACACGGTGAGACAGACAAAAAGATGATCCGACAGATAGACAGACGATAAGACAGACAAGTTCGCCATGTGTTCAGATAGTTCTGCCCCTCGGCCTAAGATGTGTGTGGAACACGAAAGAAACCCCACTATGGAAGAACCGCCTGCTTGTATTATCACGCTAAATTGGCTGTCTCCCATGTGAGTAGTTCTCGTCTCATTTCACCCGATGAGTCCGCCAACACGCGCTTCTTGCACACAGTCCAAACTCAGGGGCTGGCCTGGTCCAGTGTCTGGGAGGGTGGAAAACCCAAACACGATTGGCAGAAGAGGTGTTGGGGCGAGGACTGATCCGGAATATTGCAGTGGCAGTTCGATGGAGTAGAAAAAATCGGCCCTGACAATGATGTCTAGAGCTGTCGCTGCTGTTTGGCCACAAAGTCATTTCCGCACCTTGATTATGTCCCATTAATGAGGTTTTGGGAGATTATACTAATTGCTGCCATTAATAAGACATGTTGTAGTTCTCAATGATACTTTGTTACCGTCCTTTGTCTGTCTATGTTTAGGATTGTCTTCATTTAAACTGAATAAGTGCAGACTTTGGTCTGTATCATCTTCTTCTTCTTCTTCTTTGATCCATCTGTCAGAAAATTTATACCAGGATTCCCGTCGCTTTGATGAAAGCTATCATTATAGTCTATATCTCCGTCTGTACCATTTACCTTTGCCTTTGTTGACGTTGGAAAAGGCCAGACTTCTTCTCTGTTGGTAGCATACTGTTGACAGTGTTCAATTACACTCAACATTGTCCGGTGACAGTGTTCAGATACACTCAGCATTGTCCGGTGACAGTGTTCAGATACACTCAGCATTGTCCGGTGACAGTGTTCAGATACACTCAGCATTGTCCGGTGACAGTGTTCAATTACACTCAACATTGTCCGGTGACAGTGTTCAGATACACTCAGCATTGTCCGGTGACAGTGTTCAGATACACTCAGCATTGTCCGGTGACAGTGTTCAGATACACTCAACATTGTCCGGTGACAGTGTTCAGATACACTCAGCATTGTCTGGTGACAGTGTTCAGATACACTCAGCATTGTCCGGTGACAGTGTTCAGATACACTCGATATTGTCTGGTGACAGTGTTCAGATCCACTCAGCATTGTCTGGTGACAGAGTTCAGATATACTCAGCATTGTCCGATGACAGTGTTCAGATACACTCAGCATTGTCCGGTGACAGTGTTCAGATACACTCGATATTGTCTGGTGACAGTGTTCAGATACACTCAGCATTGTCTGGTGACAGAGTTCAGATATACTCAGCATTGTCCGATGACAGTGTTCAGATACACTCAGCATTGTCTGATGACAGAGTTCAGATATACTCAGCATTGTCTGATGACAGTGTTCAGATACACTCAGTATTGTCTGGTGACAGAGTTCAGATACACTCAGCATTGTCCGTTGACAGTGTTCAGATACACTCAACATTGTCCGGTGACAAGTTGCAGGCAAATCTTCGTGCTTTTTACGCCAAACATTGTGAACAAATGTTGACGAAGTCTGGTGTAGCCTGTTCTTAGTCTGAATATGACACACCGTTCCTTTCTAGAGAGGCAATAAAACGAGTCTTGTGGGGAAGACTTAGTGTGGATGTTTATTTAAGTATTTAGTGTCAGTTTCTTGGCGGTTAAGTAGCAACTTGATCGTATCATGTCACCGTCGCTCATGGTCAGTCTATCTATTTTTTCCTGTTGTGTTTAGTCAAAAATGAGACCCGAGGAATGTGTACATTACTCGGGGATTCTTAGTTATCCTTTCTTCTGTCCCGTACACACATTGGCATACTGTACTCACACCTGCGACCGTGACTTTGACAGGTAAGGCTTGTATGCCAGAATTTTTGAAACCGCTACAGACCAGGCTGTGTTAGGTTTATTTTGCAGAGATGTGCAGAACAGAACAGTTTGTTAGAGCACACACAGGCTGTGCTAGGTAAAGTTACCAGAACTGTGTAGAAACAGTTTGCCTCAGCTATGACCCAATAGTAATTAATTAAGTCGAGGCTTCAGTAAAAATCCTCGACGAAGACAAAAGAAGGATTAAGCTAAATCTAGGGAGAATCTGATTAGAACTTCCCTTAAGAAAAATCCTGCGGCGAAGAGCAGGTCGACGGCGGAAGAATACATTCACTAGGATCAAATCTGCAGATCCTTAAATCACAAACAAGAGGGAAATCAAATGCAGCGGCAGAAATACCAATGCTTAAAAAGCGTCCTTGGATGAATGTGGAAATCAGACAAAGGCAAACAGAAGAGGGCGCTTGTGCAGAAATAGCATTGGCTTTTCATAAAAGTGTTCGGGGTTTCAATGGACGCGAGACGGTGAGGTATCGCAGCTAAGTCTTTCACAGGCAGCTCGGAGAATTGTGATGAATATATGGGAAGGGGGGAGATAGCACAGTTGTAGGCCAGGTTTGGCTACACAAATGTACGGCGCTGCACAGTTCCTTCTGTTGCCTATAGGATTAATTAAGTTCCATACATCAAAAATAAGTCCTCGTAACCCCTTTCGCTTCTCCTTCCAAAATAGTGGCGGGATCGCAGGGAATCAATTGAGATTAGCAGACGTGATCGTAGATATTGGTGTCTCTTTGAGGGGCAATGGCGGACAATATTCGCTTATTGCCTGACGGGCAGGGACAGTCTTGGAGATTTTGCAATATACATTTGTTTCTTGGAATGGAAAACCTCAGTTCCTTACTTTCTGAATTTCTGAACTAAAGAATATGTTTATTTCTGACAGCGCTGTACTGGTATTATAATATAAAATACATTGGCACTAGAGTGTAGGCAGACCTTACATGTCTGTTTAGCCTATTCACCTCCACTCTAGGATGTGGGCAGACCTTACATGTCTGTTTAGTCTGTTCTCCTCCACTCTAGAGTGTAGGGAGCCTTAAACACTTCTGTGTAATCTTTTCGCTGCCACTGTAAGATGCCCCTTGCAGTCTTGCTTAAGTCTCCCCTACCCCTCCCCACCCCCGCCCCCATTTCCATTCTAGAGTGTAGCTGTAATCTAAAGTAGCTGTAAGTGATTTCTTCTCAACTCTGGAGTCTGTAGTGACATTGTTTTTCTTTTAACATTCGTATAGTTTAATCTGCTGTGCACGGTTTCGACCGAGGGCCGACCGCCCAAAAAGCAATGGCAAACTACTGGACGTAAATTTGCCTAGAAAAACCACAATAGCCAGAAAGTACTGGGGTTGGTTCTGCAACGTCATGTAATTAATAGTTTTATCTTTAGTGACTGACTGACTGACTAATTGACTGACTGAATGACTGACTAACCTGCCAGATTACCTATCAATAGATTACACTGCAGTTAAAATAAATTGTCGATGTGGCATAGCTCCTTGAACTCTGTCAGGCTCAAGCAGTTGCCACCCAATCTAGGGAAATACCTATTTCACAGCGTGAGGTTTCCGTGTTTACTAACGTTCAATAAATCTTGGAAGAAAACCGAACACTTAACAGGAATAGAGTTAATCACCTTATCTCTTTGCCACGTGACATGGGACATGTGCAGACTATCACTACTAGGTTAAACGAGTTAATCACCGCATCTCGTAGCCACGTGACATGGGACATGTGCAGACTATCAATACTAGGTTAAACGAGTTAATCACTTCATCTCGTAGCCACGTGACATAGGACATGTGCAGACTATCACTACTAGGTTAAACGAGTTAATCACCTCATCTCGTAGCCACGTGACATAGAACATGTGCAGACTATCACTACTAGGTTAAACGAGTTAATCACTTTATCTCGTAGCCACGTGACATAGGACATGTGCAGACTATCACTACTAAGTTAAACGGCAGGCCCTGCAACAGAATATCTTGTGCTCTTTTGGGGAAACACCTGCACTGTCGGCTCTCTTCCGTCGTCCCCTCGGTTGTCGTCAGTCTCTCACGCAGTCTCGTTCCCGACTTCCCGACATCTGTCCGACCATATATTTTGTCAGTGAAGACATCTCCCGTGTTGTCTATTTTGTTCATTTTTATATTGTTGTCCCCTTAGTGAAAAACATTTATAATAAAACATTCTATTCTATACACAATCTTTTCTATTTATTTCAAATCAAATTTCCAGCCAAGCGAATTATCAAAAGGTTCCGTAGGATTATACCCCTTTACCTCGGCATATTCTGTTTTGCTAAGCTGATCTTTTGAAAAAGTGCATTGTACCTTGTGGCGGAGCGGCCGAGGAGCCGCCGAGTGCTTCACGAGAATGAACGGGCATTCAGCTTTAAAATACTCTATTTCACTCTATTCAAAGTTACAGGGCATTAGCTGCCTGTCTATTCTAGTCAGAGTTTTTCTCAGTGGGAGCCGCTGCTCGAGAACTCTTTCACTTCAATTGAAAGACGTTGGTTTGATCCTTTTAGTCTGGCTCTGCCACAACTTCGCTTCGACAGTAAAGCTCCCGCTGTGCAGCCCCCGATGCATGACGAGGTGGATCTCTTTCCTTGATGAAACTGGCTGTCACAGTCCTGGTGTTAGCTTCGGGGAAGGTCGGATTTAGACGTAGGGGTATCTCTTGGTGGCAATAAGAGGGGGAGTGACGCCCGCGAATGCAGAGGTCGTTATAACTATAATATCCCTTACTATCGACAAGGCTCGTCTGCGAACATGACAATAGAAGTCTGTCTTTGAAGCACCCAGTGAAAGGTATGTTGCTGGACGACACGCAGGTTTTCAGCGGACAAGATTTCCAGCAAGATTCCTCTCTGCGTGGCGCCTCGGAGCCGACTGATCAACTCGAAACAGGCCTGGACATGACACCCCGGATCTGACCAGCAACTGAAGTAGGGCCTGTCTCTTTTTCCTGTTTCCGTTGACCGAGGCTATTTCGCAGTACTTTGTACTTTAAGTCATTTTCAAGAAGATGTTTTCTAGCTCGCTCTCTCTCTCTCTCTCTCTCTCTCTCTCTCTCTCTCTCTCTCTCTCTCTCTCTCTCTCTCTCTTATATATATATATATATATATATTTCAAGTTGCTATTTCCCTTTGTCAGTTTTTTTTTCTGGGGTGTGTTTTTGTTTGTTTTTGCAGCCACCTGGTCTGTTATTGTATCGTGTACCTTTTGTCTAACTGCCGGTATATGTCACTATTATATTAGGTCCTTACGTAACTTAGTCTGTAGCATCTGCGGCTGCAGTCATTATCTGTCGCGATAAAAGGTCATACATTTGTCAGCTGCTCTGTTCTCACATGGCTGATTAATGTCATGTATTCACAATGCCATGTTAGATAGCGTTCACTGTTTATTTTAGTCCTGTTTTTTTTTCTTCCTATTTCCTTTAACTGCTGGTAGAAAAAGGGCTCCCACCCAACTCAGGCCAAGTCCTTTGTAGAGGTGTGCACATTTCTTGGATTACGAGGGTCTGCTTCAGAAAGAGACAGCCCTTACAATATACAGGCAAGTCTACCGTGTTTTGTTTCCTCTATCACAGACTTGGATAACTGCTGGTGTTTCAAATCAGCAGCTCCAACGATAGTTGTAGTAGTAGCATCAGCAGGAGTAGTTTTGGTAGGAGGAGGAGGAGAAGAAGAAAGAGGAGGGGCAAAGAGACTTATCGGTCTTGATCATTCAAATGTTTTTTTTTTTTTTCAAACTACATATATATTCTACGTAATGTCCCGTAGCTGGCGTATGTGGCTTAGACATTAAGAACACGTTTCGTAATGCCGGGGTGTCGGACTCGATCCCAGCTGCAGGATATTTTCAACAAACAGTCTTGCGTTGATTTCGATAGCGGTATTGCTAATTGACCGTCGAGGAACAGTGGCAAACTACTGAAGCTAGGAAAAAACCGAACATAAAACTAAATACTGGGGTTGATTCTGCAGCATCCAAGGAATGTAACAATGTGAAGCTTAGAAAAGTCAACTATACCTATAGCCAGTGGATTATACCAAATCAGCCTCTGTTGTGTGAGCCTGTCAGTGTGCACGTGTGGGTCAATCAATGTTTACTTGTCTGAAGGTGGACATCATGACGTCAAAACTGGAGCCCTAATGGGCACTACAACAATAAACATATAACCTTTCGCAGAGTCGGCGCCTAGTGGGGATATAAATCACGTGATCATTCACGTGGGAGACTGGCAGTGGCGTGAACATTCTAGAATTAGAGATGTTTCCAAATAGGGATGAGAGAGGCGAAAAAAAAAAAAAAAAAAACACGAGTTCGGTGTGTGAGATAAAGTGAAAACCTTAACTTTGGATATTCACTAATACCAGAAATAAGAGACTTCGTGTGGATCCGGAGTCGGCAATGGGGGTCGAATATGAAAGCAATAGCGATAAATTACAACAGCGTGGCCAACTGTGGCCAATGAGAAACAACTGCTAGACTCAGGCATTAAAACTGTAAATAGTGGGAAGAAGAATTGCCGATCCGGCCACATATCCTCAGTATGGGGGTGTCCCAGTGTCAGCCGCTCGTTACTCACAATGCGCGTGATGCATAAAATAAAAGCAGCATTGAGAAAACCCATAGCGGAAACCCTCGTGTTTGCCAGATTTTTTACCAATAACTATCGTGAGACGGCGCTTGTGTACATGCCGATCATGGTATTAGAGAGTCGAATGGGATTCTAGTGCGAAAAATAGTGGTTGTGTTTTGTCCACAAACCGAGAGGCACGCGACCGTCGCTGGATGAGCCCAGTCGTATTGCATTTTAAATGCGGTTTTGGCCGTTTGCATTGTCTTCTGTGTTGTATTTAAAGTGCAATTCAACTTCGTTTTATAGTATCAGCCACTTCCTGTCATCTAGTGATTGGCTGCAGTGAGTCATCAATGCTGGATTAAGTTCCCAGAGGAGCAGTCCTGTGAAATAGATGTTGCTAAATAGTCGCAGAATGTTTTCTTCCGTAGTTTGCTGGCAATGTTGTAGATGCAGCCAGGGAGCCCAAACTGGGGTGTAGGTTCTTAGCACACACCCCTAACAAAAATAAATAAAATGTTTAGTGGTATAAACTGCTGTTACTTCACCCCGTACATGAATTCTCATGTAGACATATGCTTGATTATATTATATCTACATTTAGTTTAACGAATACTATTGTTGCTGTTATTATTACCATCTATAATTTAAACAAGACTTAAGCTCATGAGGTCCCCTTGAAAATGTGTAAGGATACCCCCTCCCCCTCCCAGTTAGAGAAGTCATAAGGTGGCTGAGGAACCCCCCCCCCCCTCTCCCTCTTTCCCCTTTTTTCGAAACAAATGGAAAATTCGTTAGTTACGGGGTGGGGGTGGGAAGGGGGGTGGGGGTGAGCCGCTCCCCTCCCCCTTTACGATTTGTTTTTTCGACCCCCCCCCCCTTCCCTTCTCCTTTCCCGGGTTCAGGCATGATGAAGATGTTGCACTTGCACAGAAGCTGCCGGTTCGCTACCAGTTATGGAATACTGACAGGAACTATTGGCTATTTATGATGCCACACATCTCAGAAATTACATAACAAGTATCTCTGAGCTAGTGAATTCTGATGCCATACATCTCAGACATCACATACTGAGCATATCTGAGCTAGTGAATTCTGAAGCCACACATCTCAGAGATCACATACTGAGCATATCTGTGCTAGTGAATTATGATGCCACAACTCTCAGAATTCACGTACTGAGCATATCTGAGCTAGTGAATTATGATGCCACAACTCTCAGAATTCACGTACTGAGCATATCTGAGCTAGTGAATTTTGATATCTAGACCAGCCTTGGAAAATATGATACATATTTCACTGACTGGCTGACGCTAAGACAGAAACAAACAACTAACATAGACAGAATTGTATTAACAATGTTAAAAGTTCACTGTTATAAAATCTTAGCTTTCGGCAAAAACGACACCTGCTGTTACTTAGAGGCTGGAGCGTTGTTTCTTAGAGTCGGCCATTGTTGTTGACACGGCCAGGAGATTTCCACCAACTGGCGCCCATGTCTTCTGGGAGAACAGGGACTGGAGATGGATGTGCAGACTGCAAATGTTGAACATGCTGCACAGTTAGGAGTTCCTAAACAATAGGCCGTTGTGTGAGTATCTTGTCCAAAAATGTTGCAGGAGTTCAGAAATGTAATCTGCAAGCTGCGATCGCGCCTGCTCCTGCAGCTAGCAGTGTTTTGGGCAGATAGCTCTCGTATGAGAGCCAGAAGCCAAACTTAATAGCCTACAGCTGTACTATGATCCCACAGACAAATCCTCACTTCCCCTGTCGTGCAGACTGTAAACTGTACCCGTGAGGAGACTAGGAACTGTACCCGTGAGAAGACTGGAAACTGTACCCGTGAGGAAACTGTACCCGTGAGGAGACTGTACCCGTGAGGAGACTGTACCCGTGAGGAGACTGTACCCGTGAGAAGACTGTACCCGTGAGGAGACTGTGAACTGTACCCGTGAGGAGACTGTACCCGTGAGGAGACTGGGAACTGAACCCACGAGAAGACTGGGAACTGTACCCGTGAGGAGACTAGGAACTGTACCTGTGAGGAGACTAGTAACTGTACCCGTGAGAAGACTGGAAACTGTACCCGTGAGGAGACTGTACCCGTGAGGAGACTGGGAACTGTACCCGTGAGAAGACTGGGAACTGTACCCGTGAGGAGACTGGGAACTGTACCTGTGAGGAGACTGGAAGCTATACCCGTGAGGAGACTGGAAACTGTACCCGAGAGGAGACTGGAAACTGTACCCGTGAGGAGACTGGAAACTGTACCCGTGAGGAGACTGGGAACTGAACCCGTGAGGAGACTGGGAACTATACCCGTGAGGAGACTGGAAACTGTACCTGTGAGCAGACTGGGAACTGTACCCGTGAGCAGACTGGGAACTGTACCCGTGAGCAGACTGGGAAGTGTACCCGTGAGCAGACTGGGAACTGTACCCATGAGCAGACTGGGAACTGTACCCGCGAGGAGACTGGAAACTGTACCCATGAGAAGACTGGAAGCTGTACCCGTGAGGATACATGTAAACGGGAAAGTGACCTCCTAGGGAGGACTGGGCCCTGCCAGGGTTGATATACTGCCCTAGATGCATCATGTTAAAGGAAATGAGGTCCACTGCGTCTGACCATCAAAGGTACAGTGATCTGATGGGGCAGTCAACGGCAGCTGATGATCCAGCGACACGCAGTGTTACGGAATAATGATGATGAATAAATGTAACCATGTGTTTAAAGAGCTCGTAAAGCACAGGCAGGCGTTTTGTTTACAAAGTCAAGCTAAAAAACACGGCATGCTTTCTACTCAACCACCCAGAAAGGGCAAGAGAGAAAGACCGGAGAGAGAAATGTCGAGTAGCTCTCAGTTGGAAGACAACTCGCTTGAGGTCTCAATTACTGGGAATGAGATCGGATTCAAGTGCTCATTACTGGAGTTGAGATGGTTGCTCGACATTAGGTTAAGTGTCTGCAAGTGTCGAAGCCTTGCTGAGATGTGTTTGAAAACATTGTTGGCGCAAAATGTCTGCCGGTCACTGATTTTTGGACGGGGTTAAGGTGAGACACCCATTTGAGGTCTGTTCTTTGTTGTCGCCTACTTTATCTGGGATTAGTCGGCCGTGGACTTCTAACGGTGTTTAACTATGTTTGACGAAATGAATAAAAGTGCTTAGTAACAAGAAAGGTGTGATGAAATGGACAAAAATTTACAATCATGGGTAAACAAAAATACGAGGCCGGGTAAAGGACGTCTGGGGGGCAAATGTACTGATACAACAGCAGCATTACAGAAAGCTGGGACTTAAGAGATTGGAGACTTTGATTGACTGTAAATACGTTTGGTGCCAGCTGAATGGACTGAAGCTGTCCTTTACATATGAGCACACACAATTAAAGTATTAATTGTAATCGTACGGGTGAACACATTTTTGATGTTGCAATGTTCCAAAGTTTCTCCTCTTTTTTCTTCTTCCGTTACCTCCTCCTTCTCCTCGTTCTTCTTCTTCTTCTTCTTCTTCTTCTTCTTCTTCTTCTTCTTCTTCTTCTTCTTCTTCTTCTCTCCCCCCCCCCCCGCCCCCCATCCTCCTTCTCCTCCTCTGCTTCTTGTCAACTTCCTCTACGTAAATCACTGTCTATGATTATTATATTAATTATAATTTTAATAATTATTAAAATGATTTTTATTCATGTCATTTGCATGGCAATCACCACAACAAAGATCTGCTAGAAGCTTCTGCAGGACTTGCTCTTCCCTTACAAGATGGAACAATCATCTTCTGTCGATTCCATCTCTCCACATTTTCTTCCCATTTAAATCACCGCCAATCTCTTGTGCGTACATCAACATAATTAAACAGTCTTAGAGTTACGACCAAAACGTCAAACCGTCAGTTGAAACTTTCATACAATAAATTATTGACACGGTCCATGGAACCTCTTAGACAACCAGAACTTTACATCATCGCTGAAAATTCTCCTGCAATCATAACTTCAGACAATCTTTCCTTAGCTTGCTTGTCTATGTTCTAACACAGTGTATCACTTTTTATGAGCAAGGAACCTCTCACACAATCATCACTTTACATCACCCATGGAAGCTTTCACACAATCATCACTTTACATCACCCATGGAAGCTTTCACACAATCATCACTTTACATCACCCATGGAAGCTTTCACACAATCATCACTTTACATCACCCATGGAAGCTTTCACACAATCATCACTTTACATCACCCATGGAAGCTTTCACACAATCATCAATTTACATCACCCATGGAAGCTTTCACACAATCATCACTTTACATCACCCATGGAAGCTTTCACACAATCATCAATTTACATCACCCATGGAAGCTTTCACACAATCATCACTTTACATCACCCATGGAAGCTTTCACACAATCATCAATTTACATCGCCAATGGACAACCACACCACTAACATTCTCTCATACAATCGCTAGTTTACATAGCCATGGAACCCCTCATACAATCGCTAGTTTACATAGCCATGGAACCCCTCATACAATCGCTAGTTTACATAGCCATGGAACCCCTCATACAATCGCTAGTTTACATAGCCATGGAACCCCTCATACAATCGCTAGTTTACATAGCCATGGAACCCCTCATACAATCGCTAGTTTACATAGCCATGGAACCCCTCATACAATCGCTAGTTTACATAGCCATGGAACCCCTCATACAATCATCACTCTACAGCGCCCAGGAATCCCTGGCACAATCATCACTTTATATGATCAGTGCTGACTCTGACACAATCAACTCTCCCCTAAAGCAGATCTCGTAAGTTCCACTCGTCACCGCTGTCGGCTCTAATTGGAGCAGATAACGAGGCCAGTTATTTCCATGTCAGCGTGGCCATCTTCCAGAGCGAGGACACGACCGCGGTGAGAGCCAGTTCTCGCCAGTCGTTAGCAAACAGACAATCAAAATGGAACCAGGGTTTGCCGATTGGCACATCAGATGGGGCTCTAATCTCCGGTAAATGCCTTGTTTTAATCAATCAAATTCATATGAATGGTTTCGGCCTCTCAGCGCTGGCAATTTGCGTTCAATGCAGGATTATTATCTGGCGCGGTAGCATGTCTAGTCTCTAGGATCTTTTATGGGACCTCTTACATTGTTGTACTTAGTGGTGATACACATAAGGACACCTTCGAATGTACTAAGTGGCGATACACAGAAGGACATCTTCGAATGGATTAAGTGGTGATACACAGAAAGACATCTTCGAATGTACTAAGTGGCGATACATAGAAGGACATCTTCGAATGTACTAAGTGACGATACACAGAAGGACACCTTCCAATGTACTAAGTGGCGATACACAGAAGGACATCTTCGAATGTATTAAGTGGCGATACACAGAAGAACATCTTCGAATGTACTAAGTGGCGATACACAGAAAGACATCTTCGAATGTACTAAATGCCGATACACAGAAAGACATCTTCGAATATACTAAGTGGTGATACACAGAAGGATGTCTTCGAATGTACTAAGTGGTGATAAACAGAAGGACATCTTCGAATGTACTAAGTGGCGATACACAGAAGGATGTCTTCGAATGTACTAAGTGGTGATACACAGAAGGATGTCTTCGAATGTACTAAGTGGTGATACACAGAAGGACGTCTTCGAATATACTAAGTGGTGATACACAGATGGATGTCTTCGAATGTACTAATTGGTGATACACAGAAGGATGTCTTCGAATATACTAAGTGGTGATACACAGAAGGATGTCTTCGAATATACTAAATGGTGATACACAGAAGGATGTCTTCGAATGTGCTAAGTGGTGATACACAGAAGGATGTCTTCGAATGTACTAAGTGGTGATACACAGAAGGATGTCTTCGAATGTACTAAGTGGTGATACACAGAAGGATGTCTTCGAATGTACTAAGTGGTGATACACAGAAGGACATCTTCGAATATACTAAGTGGTGATACATAGAACTCCGTCTGAAACTGTTCCAGTAAGTGGTGATACATAGAACTTCGCCTGAAACTATTCCAGTGATACATGGAAAGACATCTTGAAATGTTCTATGGTGATTTGTAGAAATCCATCTTTAAGTGTACTAAGTGGTCACACATAGAACGATATCTTAAATTATTGTACTAAGTGGTCACACATAGAACGATATCTTAAGATATCTGTACTAAGTGGTGATACATAGAACTTCATCTCTGCCTGTTGCAGTTAGTGTCGGTACAACAAATATCGTGGACTGTATCACATGGATATAAATATTGCGCTAGTTTGGATTGTCGAATCACGTGAAGATCTGTAAGATATCTTTGGCTGTACTGTATATAATTTGATGGCCCTATCTTGGATTATCCTGTTTGGCATAGATCCACAAGGCATCTTGGAAAGTCGTAGCAAGCAAAGTGAGATATTGGGTCACATTTGGACAAAGACGAAACACTCGCTTCCGTGAAAAGGAAGCAACAGAGAGCAAATGGAAAGATGATCAGCCCAGTCGGCCAATGACGGGGAGCTCAAAATAACCTTACAAATGTCACAGAGATGACAATAACCATACGATTGTCTTGTAACCTCTCAACATTGATCCAGTCGTGAACAATCTGTCACAGACGTCAGGTAGTTTTGAAACGGCCTACTCCTCTCATACACTGAACGGATTAGTGGACTGACAGGCATGTATGGCTATATCGTAACTTTATTCACTGATGGGTTCCTATGAGTTTCACCACTTTAATTATTTGAAAACGCAGCTTCTCTTTGGTGCATGTCTAAAGTGGGGCAGCCATTTTAAAGATCTGGAGGCATATGGTTAGCTCTTTCGGGACTATAAGGTTTTCTACATAAATCATGATTTTTTTTATTACATATTGCCATGACAGTTCTAACCACTTGCTGTTTTGTAAGAATAAACAAGTGAATGAAAGTTACGCGTGTAGTTGCCAGATTTTTTAGTATACACTGACAAAATCTTGCGAATAAGAAGACATTTGGTTAGATATCTGAGAAATGTGGGGAATAGTCTATAAGATGTTATGGGTTCTTTATGACTAGAAGAGTTGAACTGCCTGTATGCCTTCTACAGCACGTCGCAAACCAACATCGGTATTTGTCAGCTGCGTGTTTGTTATACACACAAAATGTTACTTCAGCAGTTTGCCATAGCTGCTGAACGGTTATACATATGATGCCAGACAATCAACGTAAAGTGGTCTGTTGCCATGTAACCTGCAGCGGAATCAAACCCGGTATTAGTAAACTAATTTCCCCCCCCCCCTCCCACCTCCACAAGCCCTAAGACATAGACACTTGGAGTGTGTAGAGCACTAATCTCATATTTAAAACTTCAAACTGCCAAATGCACCTGAAAGTGCGACTAGAACGCTCCACCGAGGGAATGGACCAAACCACGGTACCAAATACAACACAAACTGTGACTGGAAAACTCAACAGACAAGACAACATACTTCTAAAACAACAAAGGTCAACATGAAAGAGTCTACATCCACCTATTTACATCATGAAACTGCCAGATGGTTAATGGGGTCAGTATCACACCAAACGCTTTTACTTCCGAGATTATTTTCAGTTCCATTATGTTTAACCTCACACTGGAGAGTTACAAATGTCGACCCTGCTATGGGGATTTCAACATAAGACCACCGGATTGGGAGGTGAAAGAACTAGCCACCTCGCCATGCGGCTTCTAGTTTGCGTCTTTCACCAATCACACAAAGAATATGATGGCGCCAATTCCTCTTCCCCTGATGTCCCAGAATTCCCCAGTAGTCGGAGCGGAAATTTCTCAATTTAAAATCGACCTGGTGCAATTGACGGCAATAACGGGACACGGCTCGATACCATTGATCTGTGTATGGTCTGGGCGATTATGACGCCCGCGGGGAGAGAGCTAAATGTAAGTTCACAACGCTATAGTTACAGAAATCCCTAGTCGGACCTGTACACGAGTGGAATCGATCTGCCCACGGGCTGTTTGGAGGGCAGGCTAAGAATATAGGCCACCTTGTAAATTGGGTTTATTATTGACACAACTGGCGCCATGGGAAATGGGTGGAGCCGCCGTGCTGCAGCGGCTAGACGCTCGCCCGTTAATACGAAGGTCGTAGGTTCAAGTCCTGACAGAGCCGACATTTTCTTCAAAAATGACCCTGGCTTCCAGGTCAAGCCAGCCGTAAACTGCTACTGTAGAAAAGTCATGGGAAGTAAAGTCAGCCAGCGTGATGCTGACCATGTCAACCACCGAGTGCCGATTGGTCTATAAAATATAGATCCAACCCTATATGCCTAATAAATAAGGCGTGGGGAAGTTTACTTTACTCTACAATTGGAAACGGAACTATGTGTTGGCTGCTGCAAAACGATTACGGAACGTCCCATACAGGGAAGTCCCGATTGTTGTGGTGTCAGTGCTCAACCACGGCCTTCCCTAGAGAAGGCGGTGGCTCAACCCAATAACGTCTTTGCCTTTGCTTCTTTCATTTTTCATTAACTCTCACTGACAACTCTGGGCCCAAAAATGCATGGACCAAACTGACCAATGTCCACTAGAAAGAAGCTGAGTCGTTGATATAATAATGGGGGTACTTTGATTTGAGAGAGAAGTCAGTTTGTTTACTGATGATTTAAAGGAGCAAATAAATGAACTTTTTTCTTTCTTTCTTTCTTTCTTTCTTTCTTTCTTTCTTTCTTTCTTTCTTTCTTTCTTTCTTTCTTTCTTTCTTTCTTTCTTTCTTTCTTTCTTTCTTTCTTTCTTTCTTTCTTTCTTTCTTTCTTTCTTTTCTTTCTTTCTTTTTCTTTCTTTTCTTTCTTTCTTTCTTTCTTTCTTTCTTTCTTTCTTTCTTTCTTTCTTTCTTTCTTTCTTTCTTTCTTTCTTTCTTTCTTTCTTTCTTTCTTTCTTTCTTTCTTTCTTTTTCTTGTTTCCGTCTCTCCGTCGCTTTCTACACTAACGAGTCCCTTTATGTTGTACTCTGCAAACCCCCCCTTCCGCCTTGCCGGGAGGGACTGTTGTACTCACCAAACAAGACCCCCCCCCCCCCCCCCCTTTTTTTCCTATTCTTTCCATGCAGCCGCTTGTCAAAGAACCCAGAAGAGATACATATTTTAGCATTAGCCACCCCCCTTTCCTTCCGCCACTCGGGGGAGGCTAATACATTATGACACCAAACAACAGACACTTAGAATAAACAGCATAGACGCAAATAAGCAACAATCACATCAACAACAGCAACAGAGACATCAACAACGGCAGCAACAACAACAGCCACAGCAGCAACCACATCAACAACAACAGCCACAGCAGCAACCACATCAACAACAACAGCCACAGCAGCAACCACATCAACAACAGCAGTTACAGCAGCAACCACATCAACAACGACAGTTACAGCAGCAACCACATCAACAACAACAGTTACAGCAGCAACCACATCAACAACAACAGTTACAGCAGCAACCACATCAACAACAATAGCGTCAAAGACAGCAGCAACAACAGCAGCAACAACAACAAGACACCGAGGATGTACTCACACTTGGGATGTTCTCCTGGTTACAGATGCCCTCACTGAGCAACCTATCCCGTATTTCCCAGGCGAAGATGCTCGGACACTCGCGCTTGTAGTGCGCTATCCTGCCCACCACGTCGTTGGTGGCCACCCGGGGTTTGGATCCTCCTATTGCACGTGGTCGGATGCTGCCAGTCTCGTAGTAGCGTCCTAGTATCTTGCTGACGCAGCCGTTGGACACCTGCGGGTGGCAACGGGTTAGATGGTGCTAACTGTGACATGACTACAACGTGAG